AAAATGTACCCAGGAGTTGTGGTTTTATTGTGCTTCAAACAATACTTTTAGTATGTGAAATGGATTGCTGCTATGTGGAAAAAATCTGACTAATGTTTTGATTATAACACTAACAGAGAAAGATTCAAGACAGTAGTTTGTTGGTTGCTACGAATTATGCGGGAAGTGTTGAAAGGAATTTTAAATTTGTAATGTTGATTAGCAAATTTTACTATCTGCCAGGTTTTTTGGCGTGCTGTAAATAACTCATCTTCAAATAATTTGTCTGAGTAATTAAATTTAGATTGCACATTTCTCGTTTCAAATATTTTGACTCTTATCTATTTGTTTTTCCATTGTGGCTTAATTGATGTGGTCTATATAAACGGACAATAAATTTATATACCTTTGTTATAAAGATCAGTCAGTGAATAGAACTTGGTATTCATCCCAGACAGAATTATGATTGAATGTATTTGCAAGATTAAAGCACTGAATTTACTTTTTTCTAATTAAAGGCAATTAAAGATTTGCAGACACAAATAAAAGACAATGAATTGAGGAATAAGTGTAGGAGCAAGTCCATTTGCAGGTGAAAAGAAGTGCCTTTGAAGCAGAACCAGCTGTATTTTCATTGAAAGAATAACAGTTTAGGAAGCTTTTCTGCATGTGCTCGCTTGATAGCATAATGTACTCATAAGCAGCTTACGCAGTACAGTATTCAGAAAATAGCAGTGCATTAATTTTTAAAGTAGAAAATGCAGGCGAAGAGCAGTGCTGCCGCATGATGATAATGAAGGTGGATATTGTAAAGTCTACTGAGAGAAAAGAAGGCAGTGAGCTCCCGAAATGTGAACATTTATAAAACAATAACCAGATATTCATATGATAATAAGCTTGGACAACAGTATCAACAAAGGCCAAAGATGCAGTCCTGTTTCTGCTTAAGCCTGATGAATTGAAAGACAGAGAGGCAGTCTTTAGTCAGTTATTCAAATCCAGTAATGAGCAATTGTTGGAATGACAGAATAGACATCTAGAAAGGTCAGGAATCTAATTATTTTTTTTTAAGAAGTTATGATACAGGTTCAGATGGTATGGTAAATGGCAGCATCTTTAAACAAAATCTTAGATGCAGTCAGTTTTCTTAAAATACAGTGTTCAACATGTTGCATTATTGGTTCCTTGTGTTGCAGAGCTTGTTATGTATACAAAGCACAATGTCTTACATACTACCTGGTAATGTCACCACGGTTCTGCAGAGTAAATAGGAAAGGTCACCCAGAACTTGATGAACTTGTCTAGCTCATAGCTGCTATTTAGTTTAAGTTTTGCATTAACAGTGATATTAACAGGCGATGGGAGGGAAGGGGAGGGAAGGAGAGGAGAGGAGAGGAGAGGACAGCAGAGGAAAACAAAAGAGAAGAGACAAGAAG